CTCAACGAATTTGGAGGTTATCAAGTGCATGGAGGAACTTTGTGTACACGATCATCGGTTATCACAACAACAACATCAAGCAACTTTTTTTTTTGACTCCGATTTGACTCCGATCACTTACAGCAACTATCCAGGTCCAATGCATTATGAAGATACCCATATACCACACGCCCGTACTTATGTCCCTCCCGCGTAATCACCAATCCCTATAGATAGAGATATTCCTCTGTACCTATTAGAATTAGCTTGCTGAAGTCCAAGAACGCCGCCCTAGGAATTATATACGATGCCCTGTTTAGCCGTGGAACAGCATTTGATAGTTGGCGGTGGTATGAGGGTAGATGACCTTATTGGGATTACTTTTGCGAAGCCGTATAGGCCGATAGATTTCCCTAGCCGACGTCTCTACGGATCGTAGAAACACTTTATTACTGGAAATTAAACCAAACTATAAAATTTTATTAGAATTTACGCCGAATATTGCTATATACTGCTTGTTTTTCAATAAATATTTTTTCCATATGGCTAACAATCGACTAAAGCAAAATCGATTTCGATTTTTTGATCGTTGACTTTGTTGATATTTGCAGCGTAATGTCGTAGTGCTCAAAAGGCGCCATTTTTCAGTAACTGTACAAGAGGACAATAAAATCAGTGATAATGTATCATTCGAACAAATAAATAACTCGGAAAATATCTATTTGCTATATGATTTCTAAAAAAATATTCTAGAAGACTATCTTCAAACGCCGCTGTGCCAAAAAGTGATCATGGCGCTTGCGATTTTTCTTGCCTCTACACTCTCAACTTCGGTAAATCTTGCTAAGCTTTTCTTTTATTTATGTGCCCAGATATATTTCCATTGATGCATGAGTTTTGCACGCGACCTTAGTAGCCTGATGAGAGTACCGCATATATTCGTATCTATGCTCTTCAAGCTAAGGTTTTGAGGTGTTGCAGAACGCTGCAAAACGTTGAGTTGTTTGAAGTAGGGGCGGCGGTGTTATCGCCGAAAAAATCTATTAGACAAAGGCACACGAATGAATGACATTTCAGATTAGGAACTTCGATCAAGCTTGGGGAAAAATAGGACAATGGGAAGTACGTTCTTGTAAATAACATCAAATATAATCCGCAAATTTGGGTCTATAATCGACGATAAAGTAAGCCTTTTTGACCCTTGAATTTTTTTAAGAACTAGATCTGTAAGCGGATCGTGACGGTTTTGTGTTACGGGATACTTGAATCTGAAGTTGATGGTAACCAATTCATCACAACAATCTTGGTTCCCCCAAAAACCAGATAGATACAGTATCGAAAGAACCGTGTCAAATGAAACAAGTAACTGAATGTATTATACATAGGTTTGCCTAGGTAATAGGTATATAGATACGTGTCATAGCTTGACTTGTTAATAGAAATCCAAGAATACAACGTTTTTCACGTACGATCCCTAAGTGCGGTGGGCCTCCGCTTTTGAGTCGTGTCAACGCGATCTTATCAAAAGGTCTTGCTGGAATAGAGCAATTTATGATAACTATTTTCCAACTAGGTTTCTTCTGTACAACACATGCGTTTGACATTTGCCGAACTTGTCAATAAGATACGTCCATATAAACGAAGGCGTATAGGCATATAAGCGTGATAACATACCGTATGTCGGTACAAAAAACGATACCAATTAATCTCTTTTATTAAATATCCTGATAGGCATACTTCGTATACAACGATTCTTACTTATATCCTTAAGTTTACTTTTATATTAATGTAAAGAGGTACATTTTCATAAATAATGGCTAAATTAACAGATTTTCTAATAACCTCGTGTCTACTAAGAGATCGTAGGTGGGACTTGGAGCACATCCAAACGTATTGCCTAAATGCACGTTCTTTTTTACAAATTTGAATATATGAATTTATCTAAAAGGAACCGGAACAAATGTTACCGAATATTAGAAACACGCGTTATTAACGCACTGGTCAGTTCATACAACGTCTATATCTGTTTCTGTATACAATAGACGATGAATATAAAGAACGGGCCCTATCATGGTTATTTTTCCTTTCTGCGAAAAAGATGGCCTTGACATAGTTTCGTAAACGGACGTCTCGTGAGTCGAATTTACCCTGGAGTATATCGTTTAGAAAAAAACCGCTTCCTCCCCATCGAATGAAAGCGTCATGGAAAAGCCTTTTATGTGCTGATGGATTTGTCCTTTTCTAATTTTGTGTTTTGCCGGTTCTTTTTTAGCTCTAAACGAAAACATCATGTCGACGCGATAGACCTGCAGCTAATGTGCAATTCTTTCGGTGGATCCACTTATCTCCATGAACCAATGATTCAATGAGCCAAGCTACCAACTGATATTTGCGCATACCCTAGATTCCGCTGCACACTCAAAAAAACAGTGGGTCGGAAGCCGGGTTTCTTATTGGTATACAGTGAGCTCACGATTTCCAGCTATTTTTAATTCTCAAAGGGCAGTCGTTAATTTTCTGGGTTGACGTCTTGGAGAACGTCTGAGTGAATGTCGCGGTGCCGCGATGACGACAGTAGCTTAACATCTACAGCTGCCGCTTACCCGTGTGTCTGGTAAGCATACGAACCGCCACCAAACAACAGGTACCATCCAGCTACCCCGTTAGGAGTAACTGTCATCGGATTATGCCGTTTGTTTTTTATTTTTGGCTTCAACGTGCTCGTTCGTTCCCTCGTTCGGCCGCCAGCCCGCCCGCCCGCCCGCCCGCCCGCCTGTGTACCTCTCTGCCGCCAACTGCGGCCTGGTTCTCTCGGCTATTTCGTCGGATTTTAATTGGAAGCAAAGTAGCCTTGCCGGAGGACTCCGCGGCTTTTCGCTGTAAAGCTTCACGGTGCACCATACGATTCACAGTACCTGCCTGTCTGCCTTCCTTCCTTCCTTCCTTCCTGTCTATAAGCAAGGGCTTTCAAGACGGGTTGTTCAACCGGCAGCGGGTAAATGTCTAACTCGAAACGGGACAGAAGCTACTGCTCAGCTGAGAACCTGCAGAGTGGTCTAGCAAGCAGCTAAGTGCTTGCCAGCTCCGCTTTGCGCTCCGCCGTAGACAATGCCTCAGTAGCCAGGATTCCTAAGCTTCAATCGAGCCCATTGCAAGTCAGGTACGGCCACGAATATAGGCGCATCTATGTGCCTGGATCTTCATGTGCCAGAGCTTCGCTCTCACCACCACAGTTAACGACTGAATCAGACTCCTCCGAGCGGTGACTCTTCTCTCGGCGAAGCGCGTCTTGCTTCGCTGTCCTACTTCGCTGGAAAGCACTCTCTCCCTATTGACGTTCTCTTTATCTAGAAATTGACGAAAAACACTTTCGTTGTCTTGACTTGCGTTAATGTATCTTAGTCAAATTCGTGTCCGTTGTTAAGCGAAGTGTGACCTTACAGGCTTTCATCGACTGGCATACGCCTTTCGAAGGAACACCAGACAATTAAAGCTATACTTTATTCATAATGCGTGCTTGAACCTGTTGGTAAGATAAAGTGTTTTGGCGCTGGGTGTGGAGCACGCTTCCAAAGAAGGACGTACTAATCCAGTTTTGACGAGTGGCGTACGTGGACTTATCACCGTTCTCTTTTAGTGGACGACGGAAAGGGTCCTCTCGGCGAAGCAAACCCCTCGCGGCTCAGCTCCCGCGAAGGTATTGACTACGCGTAGCAGCCAGCGTCCTCCAGCTTCCGCTGCTAGTCGCGCTTCGGCCTTTGCCAGGGAGGAAGACGCCGCAAACAGATTCGACAGCGCCTCAAGGAGATCGCGCCTCCAAACAGCCCTTGTTGATTCGTCATGGCGGAAAACGTTGAGAATCTCGGTTTTAAAGGTCAGTGTATAGATATTTTAACCTATGGGTTTTCAGTGCCTGCTTTGAAAGCTCTCTTATTCGCGCTTAACAAAGATCAGCTGTTCTCTATTTATCGAAAACGCTGTGTAAACAGGTGGCCCCTAGGTTATGGAACTCGAAAATCGATTAAACGCGGGGCATTTGCAATGGTTACTTCGGTAAAGATTCCCACAGGACATACAAAAAACGCCTCTACGTTTCGTCACATCAGAATAGATTAAACTGAGAAGAGCGAGGGTTTCGTAACGTTCGCCGTCGTGAGCTCTTCTTCAAAACAATTCACGGCTACGAATCGAGCTTAGAGATGATCAACGGGTCGATGCACATTCTACATTAGACACTTCTAAGTTATTAAAGGAAGGCTACAGGAGGCAGATGATTACATAAACAAGCCGGAAAGCGATGACCTATGTCAAAAAGAGGAAAACAAGAAATAATACCAATTTACAAATAATCAAGACTGCCATTATGTATATATATGATAGACTATTGCCAGTTTTGGTAATTTCTTAATTAACGTAAACGCTAAAAAAAGGAAAAAAAAAATATATATGTGTGTGTATGTATATATATACGTATATGATTAGTATCGCTTATATAATAGAGCATCGATGGTAAGCAGTTTATTGCGTGCAACACATGCCTGAAATGAATGTATTGAAAGACCGAACCGCGTCCGCCGATAACGAGGCGAAGCATAAGCCTTTTACCTAGGTATAGGGCAGCTTTTTTTCGCTGTAAACGGCGTACCATTATTGCGAAAATTATAAGACTGGTAATCTGAAATGACATACGTTATTTTGTCTTGCGACACATTGTGATCACGAGTATTTGTAGCCAATCCGAAACCGACCATTGCAGTTAGCGTATTGTCAGTTATTGTTTCGTTGAAACTAGACCTATTATTTGGCCCGTGGCATGAAACTAGCGGTACCGGTATTAGCGGCAGTAATCGGTGTTTCGGTGCAATACAAATAAAGTTCTGCTGTTTTTGGTCTTAAAATGACTAGGGCCAATTATGCAAATCAAGACTACGATGCACGTTGGCTAAATTCTTCCTTACATAAGTTAGTTAGTAAGTGCAACTTGAACAAGTTTGAATAGCTTATGAGTTTAATCAAAATAATTTGAAAGATATTCACACGCGCGTGTTTATACCCCACACGCACGATGTCTATATCATACACTAGCGTAATATTAAAACGAAGCAGATTTGTAATATCTGATATCTGGTGAGGTTGCTGACCAAAGAGGCGAAATTGGAAAAGGCGAATGCAAAATTGCCTCGAAGTAGCCCGCGATAGCTTACGATAATGTGTTCTTCTAAAGAAGGCACCGTAGTCGTTGAGAAGCTTTCTTATAAAGGTCGGTACGAAGTTTTCCTTGTGAACGTCTAGTAATCTTTAGATCAACTCGTAGTCTCAACAGCTGGACAGCATCGGCTAGCCTGTGAGAAACTGTCCCGTATAAACAAAAGCCTTCAGCTGAAGACCTAATGTGAGTAGTAAGAAAAGTATAGCGAAGTCGTTCGCTTCGAACTGTGCTCATCCGGCGACTAGGAAATTAGTTCGGGTTTCGGCGTACGGCGACGACGCGCTACGTTGATTTACGTATTTTGACCGATGTTCGTCAAGAATAACGGGATGATAAGTTTTTCTGCTACGGTGACGTGTTGCTTGATAAAAGGGCTTGAGGACATCATCATTTAGCCCATAATAGAACTAAAGTTTTTACACAAAAATCACAGTGGCAAAGAAACGCTGATTTATTATTAACGCTGAAATTGCGACCTTGGTTGATAGAGATCGTCCCATCCCACGCTATTTAGCAGAATGTTTGTTTCCCAGCTAGTGGTAAGTGTACGTTGTCTGGTCCACTGAACGAGGGAATGTCTCTGGAGGAGAAGTTACGCTCTTGGTGTTCACTGTTTCGTTATCGTTGAAAATAGATTTCCTGTTGTTAGGTAACCTCAGCACATAACGACGTCGGTCTGATGCGCGGTCTGGACAAAAAAGATCCTAGCTTGCGAGTTATTGTATATGACTAAATAAAGAAAGCCAATAATTTAAAGTAAAAGGCTATATATCGGTTTAGACTTTTAACTCGAACGTATAATTAGCCAGCTCGAGTGGACTGATACGCTGTTAGTGGTAATTAGAATATAGTGTGTTCTTGCGAATCGGGTCGGTCTGAGTATAGTCAGTATCTTGTTTGTGGGTAACGTGAGGCATTTTTCTGCACGCGCATGGTAAGTACCTATTTCTGAAGGTCCAGTTAGACGTATTCTCACAGCATTAATTTGAAATGGCTTGCGCAATAATTTGACTATGATTACAGATCTTTACCCGTACAACATTAACGGGAAGGCAGAGACTCGCGCCTTTCTATTGAAAGTCGTTAGTATTTTACTCGACTACGTCGACGAGGAGAATGACCGAACGTCAAAAATTTTAGATTTTAAGATGCCCGAGGAACTCGAGCAGATCCTTGACCTCAATTTGCCTGACAAGGGCCTACCGCTTGGAGATCTCCTTAAGGATTGTCGTTCTACGCTTAAATGGCAGGTGAAGACTGGTCACCCACACTTCTTCAATCAGCTCTCATCAGGACTCGACATAGTGTCACTTGCGGGCGAGTGGCTCACATCTGTTGCCAACACGAACATGTGAGCCTGAAGCTTCCATTAGTTCTAGTTTCTGGTACCAGTATTCGAGATACGTAGTACTCAAATGTGCGGACTGCCACACACGAGTAAAATGCTAGTGCACCATTATGCTACATTCTACTTTTTTGACGTTAGACGCTTTTCCGTGCTTTTTGCGGCCTATTTCGCTTTGCTTTAATCGATTTGATTTAGATCGACCAGATCATTATACATCCCGTTGGTGTGCATGCCATGAACTCAATATCTAACTAAAGGTATGTGTAATTTGCTAGAAAACAACACATGCTTTTCTTCTTCATATTTAAAAATGCAGGCGAAAATTTATAGTGTATATATATATATATATATATAAAGCTTTGTCTTCGGACTAATGCTTAATAACACTTCGGTTCCAGAAAAAGACCGGCCAACCCCTAACATTTTTTTTACCCAAATGTTAAACGAATCAGTTCACAAGAAAGGATTATCTGTGTTGCGTAAACGAATGAAAACGATAACGATTGTAGATATCCATTAATCGATTCAATGTTATTAGGTTCACGTATGAAATTGCACCCGTTTTCATCTTGATGGAGAATGTTGTACTCAAGAAGATGCGCGAGTATCTCGGATTTGTTCACGGGGACTCAATCCTTGCACCCGGGGGTTCGATCTCCAACATGTATGCCGTTATGGGAGCACGTCACAAGATGTTCCCGAACTACAAGAAGCTTGGTCTGAAGGCACTTCCCCAACTCGTCATGTATACTTCAGTAGATGTGAGTTTACGAAGCTCTCGGGTGGATTGCGGCGTACCAAACAGTTCGATTGCCCTATTTGATCTACGATAAGTGGAAGTAGGACAGTCCCAACGGTTACACTATGCTCTAAAATTTCGTTAGTTATAGTTTCATTGGTCTATGTATTTTACTTCCAAATTACATTGACCCCTATTCGATAGTTTCACTTGACTGATGAGGTTCGTCCATCGGACGGATGACTTCGCTTGTGGGTGTAAACAAATACAGGTCGTCGTATTCAAAAGTATTATTTTTGTCACTTTTGTTGCAATTTGGCTATGTTGTTTTCGACTTTGGGTATGTCCAAACAGTAATGACACCTAACAAAGAACGCAGCTTGGCCAAAATTTACTATGTATTCGCTATACGACCTTATCCCAGATCTCAACCAGTCTATCGCTTTTTGCTAAAAATGTTCAGGTCTGATTTAGTCATCTAGCCGGCGTCCATACGGACATTTCTAAATTTCTATTGTGAAATTTTATTCCCTAGTGATCAAAAAAGGCGAGAAACCGTCGGCGGAAAGTCTATAGAATGTGGTGGATGCAAAAGAACCTTCCACTTTCGCAGGGTAGCCTTAGTGGTCCTTACTATTTGTGATCAGGCGTTGTCGTAACTTCATTCACCCATATCTTTTGTAAAATAGCTTCGCCCATTCGATGCAACTGGGTTAGATACATCAATCTCTGTGCCTTATAGACGTACGACGCAGGGTATAAAAGGCAGAAAAGACGTTCGTCGTTCTTAGAGTGCTGTTTGGATCTCGTGTTTATTTATGCCAGGCAATACATCGATGAGTCTCTAGTTGGAGACTGGAAAGTTTTACTGGCCTCTATCTAGTCTGCAAGAAAAACCGTCGAAACCTATTTTCGTTATAGAAGGCCTAATAGAATCCACGGTGGTTTTCACCAAACAATGTGCGAAGGCTAAGATTATTACATAGATCATACTAGTGGTAAATGGTTTTGTTCCCCAGTTATCCCATATTATGCGATCAGTAATAGTCGCATCACGGCACTTCGGTACGAAGAGCCTCCAAGTATTTGTTAGTAATTATAGATGGTTTTCCCATCGGATCTTTTCTTGGCCCGTTTTTTTTTCTAGTTTTAGACTTATTTGATGCGAATCTTTCTATTGATCGCTAGTTTCGCTTTTGCTTTGTTTTGGTAATACGCCATAAAGCTTTTTCGAGTATGCTTTTTAAGCTAGTCACGTATTTTTACTCGAATTCAGCTAAGATATTAACCGTGGACGCTGTTCATGCTGTCGTTGTTGCATTGTGAACGGAAGCCAGTGTCGGTATAATCATTGTAAATCCATGATACCTTAGCCCCGCTGACTAGCGCCATCGGTGGAGTAATCGACGAACACTATAGGATTAATTCATCATCCCGTTTAGTTAAATGTTGTTTTTTCATTATAGCTTACTCAGTACGCGTATTCATCCATTCATTACAACTATCCATTCAGCTTTACTGTATATAATTTTTATGCAATCGATGTATGTAGTCGCATTCAAGTTATATACGATCTTGTCAGACTTGGCGCTAGTGCAGAGGTGCGTGTCGGATTGCCACAGTTACGGAGGTGATACGGCGAACGAGCAGCTGGCATCGTGTTCTGACTTTCATTCGTTGCATCGTTTCCCAGAGTCACTATTCTGCAATGGGTGCGGCAGCGTCGTGCGGCCTGGGCACGGATAACGTTATTCAAATTGGCACGGATTCAATGGGTCGCATGCGAGTTGACAAGCTCGAAGAGGCTGTTCTGGCTACAAAGGCGAAAGGACACGTCCCGTTTTTCGTTAATTGCACATGCGGAACGACTGTCGTCGGTGCCTTCGATCCAATCAATCCAATCGCCGATCTTTGCCAGAAATACGGCATGTGGCTACATATCGATGTAAGTAAGTTGTATACATACATACTTGACGATTTTTCGAGGTAGCGTCAGTTTGGTCTTACATAAATGTGAAATTTGCGTTACTAATGGCCCAGGCTGCGTGGGGAGGGGGTGTCCTCCTATCGAAAAAGCATCGCCATTTGATGGCTGGGGTAGAGCGAGCCAACTCTGTCACTTGGAATCCTCACAAGCTAATGGGTACTCACCTGCAGTGTTCAACGATCCACTTCCGCCAAGACGTGAGTAACTGGTAGTTCTTTTTCGTTGAATGTTAGATTCGTTGCTTGAATAAAGGGAAACGAAGTTGTAAATAGTAGCGCTGGAGCTTGAATACCTATTAGTTCATTGTAGTAGTAGTCGATCTTTTCTCTGATTCAGTGCCCACGAAGTACAAAAATCGACATATCTTAGTGTAACCAGTTGTAGAGAAGCAGTAGTGCATGCGTGTTTAAACAAAAAAATTTTGTATCGCCACCATGGCCCTCCTTTTATGACAAACGTAAGTAGATACCACAATGGGTTGCGCCATCTTGTTTAAAAAACTGCGCCTTCATCTATTCAGAGCGGAGATATCCTCTAGGTAGATAAATTGATTCGCAACAGCCACATGTGACACTAGTGTTTATAGCTAGCCTATCTGGTTGCTCACTTGATTTGTATTGACGCCGAGTTTTCGTTATTACAGGGTATCTTACTGGGCTGTAATCAGATGTGCGCAGAATACCTGTTCCAACAAGATAAGCACTACGACGTGTCGTTTGATACGGGTGATAAAGTGCCGCAATGTGGACGTCGCAATGACATCTTTAAATTATGGCTTATGTGGCGCGCTAAAGGCACCGAAGGCTTTGAAGCTCACATTGATCAACTGTTCGATATTTCCCAGTAAGTAGGACGACAGTAATTCATTTTTTTTAAATTTAAGATTATAATGTGTTTCATTTAAGAGCAAATTTTTCGTGCTTTTCAATGCCTCTTCAATATCAATATGTGGAACGTATTTGTGTGGTTGTTCACTTTCTTAATGGGGTCTCCTGACGGTACTGTCTCTTTGCTCATTTATTTATTTTTTTTTTCGAAATTATGCCGCGAAGCATTTGGAGCTTTGCTTCATAACAGAGGTGTTCCCAAGGTTTTCGCAGTTGTGGAAGTGGAATTGTTTACTAAGCTTCACTAATTAATTCAATGAAGGAAAGCTGTATTTTCGGCGTAAGTTTTTGACCATTACTGAGACTATTTGTTACAAATGGTTTCCAGGTTACACAACGTAGGTCATCAATGAACCTCTTAATGCGTGGGAACGGCGTAGATGGGATTTAGCCGGTTGAGTATGAGCATTGAAATGATCACTAACTAATGGTAACTCGATGATTGGTAATACTGAAATCTGATTGCAGGTATCTGGTGAAGCGTATTAAAGAAATGCCGGAGAAGTTCCACCTGATTCAAGAGCCTGAGATGGTTAACGTGCTGTTCTGGTATATTCCCCAAAGGTTAAGGGACCAACCCCAGAGCAAAGAGCGAATTGCCGAACTCGGAAGGGTAGGCTTAATTTTTGATTTTTTATTTTTTATCACACAATATTAACACCTACGAGACAATACAACCAAGTTAAAATATATGGTCGTAGTACCTATCCGTCTTGAGTTATGGCTAGGCAATACGAAACCCTTTTCCTATTAACCTTACACTCCTTGCGAAACTAGCTGTTCACAGACGTCAGTTCCATGCTATTGCGATACTTGACTGTGCTGCAAATGTTAATTACAGATAACTGCCCAGCTGAAGGCCCGTATGATGAATACAGGAACCCTAATGATCACATATCAACCCCTGAGAGAGTTGCCGAATTTCTTCCGAAACATTGTCTCAAATTCCGCCGTTACAAAAGATGATATTGACTTCCTGCTGGCCGAAATGGACCGTCTTGGCAACGACCTCTAAACTAGTTGTTTCCCGGGGAATTTACACGCTGGTGACCCGGAGTTATCGCGCGTGCTTCGTGCTGTTGTGACTATGCGTATGGAAGGAGAAAGAATCCCCTTAACAGTTTAGTTCCGATAAGCTCAAAAACGTTGAGGTTTGAAACGTATGGGTATTGGGATCTCTGTCGTCAGAAGTGATGCACGCACGCTGTTGTTTCGTGTTGTGGATGCTGCACGCGGTAATTCGGAATTGGCGGTGTGAAGAAAACTCCTAATCTGAGTTCCAGTTCCAAATTTAACCTATCATTCGTAGACTACGCAGAAAGAGACATGAGGTTCGGTTGGTTACCTACAAAGCAGATGCAAATTTTTTTAATAGCAAAATTCACAAAGAGCTTAAATATAATGGTTGAATAAATAATACGGTACCGATTCTTTATTATTATTATATTAGAGAAAAAGAGAATGGTGTGAAGTGTGCGGCAATGCAGACAGCGGTGGCGGCTATAGCCCGTTTCGCTTAGTACCGAGTCGTAAGAATAGTTGTAGCTCCGAAATGAAACTGGATTACAAATGGCCAGAAGGCTGTGACAAAGAGAAACAAAAGGGTGAATGAAGTGACCGAACGAACGAGGAAATGAAAACAAAAAGAACCACTATAGCAGACCCGAGGGGCTTAGAGATTTTAGACCAATCGGAGCGTAGTCGATAGAAGCTTGACGCTCGAGATTCTTCAGTGGCAGACGCCCAGCGCGCCACATCCCATCTCCGACACCGCCTGTCTTTCAACAGCGCCAAGCTGCGCACTTCACGGGGCGTCAGAGTATTTCTGACAGCCGCAAACGGATAGTTTGTATAGAAGCAGGGCCACAACTTTGGTGCTGATCGTCATTTAGTTGCCGAAGTTATTCGGTTAATAAAAACGACGTTGTGGAAAATCTCATCTTACTTAACGTACTATAGGGCATGTCGCAGCGTCCGAATTACTGGAAAAGTGGCAAATTGAAGTTAACTGCAATATGCCATACAAAAATCCAGAGCTGAAACACACAGATTTTCACACGGAAAACTCGTAGGACGGCACCGATAAATCGGTTTAGTTGTTTATGGATAGAAATTTTCGGTAAAAGCGGATTATATCGGTGCACTATTAACAGTGAACTATACAGTAATTATTATAGAGGAACGCTGTCGCACCCGAAAGCTGTCGTCTCTTGCCGCGCATCATCCACCTTTCGAATCACACAATCAGCCTCCATGTGGGACCAACCGGGGCTCTTCGAACTCTGGGGCTATGAAAGAACGTATCGTTACAAATGAAATAGGCTTCCTACTGTCGAAATATTGTCATTCGATATAAGTAGGCCGTTCTGGCAAAACTAGTTGCGAAGAGGCGTAGTAAAAAAATCTACCTGTTAAGCGAAACTAAGTACGTGGAGAGCAAGCCTCCCTGACTAATAAACTCTGCTTGTTGAGGTCAGAGTTCAATTTCTGAGTTACTCATTATCCGCCGGGTGATGACGATTGACAAACGTAGTCACCTATACAAGCAAATGATGCTCCCGATGTAACTATAATTTTCAGATTATCAATCGAAATTCGTCAGCCGAACATTATGGCATCATACAAATAACGAACTACTTCAATAATATGAAGTCATTATTAGACTAACAATAAAAAGAGTGGGAAAAAAATGACAGAAGACGTACTTAGTTGTCACCTGACGTGGGTACGAATTGATCAAACAAAAAATAACTCCTGACGCGCATATATGAAGGTGAATACGCATAGGGACGTGCATTTGGGAATAACTTAAGCGGACGTTAACTTACGTTGCCGACGCATTCACACATCATGCACGATCTCATACACGCACATAACTATCATATAAAACATGTTAAAAACACTACTAAAAAAATGACATTAGAAAATGACGAGTTGTAGTAATGATGATACTAAGGACGACTTGTGAAAAATAGTTAAACACCGGAAATTTTCGATCAATTCTAGCGTGAATTTTCGCACGATCCGTTGAGGCGTTCCGTGCTGCGGTCGCACAGCGGTGATTTCATAATACCGTTTATGCAGGACCCGAACGTTATGCGATGCGAAAGTAATATATCTATATATAACATATTGGAGGTTATCATAACAATGCCTAATATCTTCTAAATTTCACATCAAACTAAGTAACTGTGAAGTTTTATAATTTAATCATATTGATGCAGCTATGCTAAGCCTTAAAAAACTAAGAACGAAAAATTTTCGGTGTTTAAACCTGAGAAAACACGGTCCGCATCGTGCTTAACAATCGGTTGTTGTGTTCATAGACCTTATCGCGTTGTCTGTTAATGACTACGATAATTACATTAATGAGACTAATTAATGATAACAACGTTATGAATGGAGTTTTTTTAACTTATTTAATTCCGCTGTTTGTTGACCATACCTGATATATTTTTGTAACTAGCAAACGTTATAGGACGTGTTCTGTTAAGTACGTCCTCTGTTGTACGGTTGAACTAAGTTCAGGCCGTGCCCAGCCAAAAATAAACATGCATATACTATATATATATATATATATATATATAACACCGGTCAGAGCCTATGGAGTAAACTGCGGCAACGAGAGTAATGGATATGCTATAAAGCAAGGTAGGGCTATAGGCTGTAGGGTTATGGATATACAGATTGAATGAAAGTACGTAAGCCGATTACCACAAAGGAGGACGAAAAACAAAGGATACGAAAAGAAGGATAACAATACGAGAGATCCGAGCTGATCGACATCTTAACAACAACAGATATGTCCACGATCGTTGAATGTTACAATAAAAATTAACGTCGACAGCAAACATCAAATGGCCTGAAATCTTGCTTTGGTCCTAATCTATATTTTCCTTCCAGAAGTTTATGAATGTTCAGTTTCAGTTCAATTCAACGATGAAGTGTGCTAGGCAAAAACGCCACTTTCGAGGCAGTAATATTAGTTAGGGTTTTATGAACAAATAGACTGATGTATGTATCGATCAGCGACGAAATAAATGAGAAAAGTCCTAGCGAATTCGCAACTGCATAGCTTAGGCCTTATTGTTTCCCAGCTACCCAATTTTCGTTTATGGCCATTTGGCAAGCCCGTTTGAAAATGCCCAGCTTTGCACTAAGATGGACTCCGCTCGGAAGGGCGAACGATGGTTGCAAAATCACAACGGTGAGAAGAAGCAGAAAGCTAAATTGACACTCTTAATACCATGCATCTGAAGTTCAGTTTGAAGCTTTTTAGAAATCTCTGGTCACGAGACCAGCTAGTAAAGGAACAAGTCGACCTCTGTTGCAACATGATCGATTCATACAACACAAACCATTACACATAAACGATCTGCGATATCATCCTATTCGATTGATAAAACTATATAGTAGCGTGCACATATCGTTAGCATGTACATGCACAGAAATAGAGCACGAAACTAATACAAGTACGCATGAATATAGTTTGATATAAATTCTACTTTATTAAAACGCAAAGATGATTATAACAGTAATAATCATCATATAATTATACAAAACCACTTCATGACGTCGATCATTATTTATATGATTGTTTGCTACTTATAATAACATAACATTAAAGATGTACTACAGTTATATATACAGGTTAGGACAACGAACGACAGGGTCCTTGTCGTTTGTCCGATCCGACAATAAATAAGACAGCCTTCCTTCACTCAATATTATCTATATTGTAACAACATTTTTCGTACTCTTAGTTCATCGTGGCCTTCGAGCCCTACTAATGCAACGGTAACCGTGCGCATTCAGCTGCCGCACCACTGCACGCTGATAGTTCCGCGTTGAAGATCGTTTAGCTCACCTGCTTAATTGATAGTTCTCTTATTGCTCGCTTAAAGAAATCAGAGAACGAGATAAAATAAAAAAGTGGAGCCTTTTTTGTTTCATCTATTTCTATGTACTGTCCTATCCTATGGCACACATGGTTGCTTTATTAAAATAGCGCCCCAGCCTAGCTTAGAAGCTTTGAGCTCTTCTGTGCATTACGTTTTACTAGCTTAGTTCGTTGAGACGTTTAATTTATGGAAGGAAGCCAACGCTAAGTAATGTGACAGGATTAGGAGTATCCACTTTTCAACGATCGCCGTATGAACGTGTTGTCACGTCGTGATATTGGGGCTACAAAGTGGCCTTTCCTATATTCTACCAGCCTGTGCACAAACGGTTATTACCATAAAAAAAAAATGTTCGGACAAAATTGTGTTTTTTGCCGGCTTAAGGTTGCGAACCTGGTGGCTTATACTGTCCTCTTGGCAAACGGAGTAAATATGCGCATACATTTGAATGAAACACTGGGAGAAAGATTCCATTTGAACCTAATTTGGGTTTCGTAGTTAAGGAACAACTATAATCCCGTAGCAGCGAATAAATAGAACACAGTATTGATAACATTATAGAGGTTTATCTAGCGGTAATAAGTTAAGATAAAATGGCAAGAGATGAATAGTATTTGGCGCAAAGCGCCTATGCTTCCTCGTGGTCTATATATCAGTAGATCCGGCATATTATTTTGCCTCCGCTGTTGTCCAATTGAAGCCGACAATACAACAAGCAGTAAACACAATGGTTGATTATTAATGATTTTAAAACTTTACCGAATATTAGTAAACTTCACAGATAGTATGATATTACAATATGTACATAACTGTATAAATTAGGTTTTCTATTCTACTATGTTTGATTCTGCGCTCGATTATGTACATTATTTTACACAAAAAAAAAACACAGTTTAGATATCAAAGCGACCTCAAGCGTCGCTATTAAAGATTCATTTCATTGTCCGCCCTTTTTTTAAAAAGTATTCCCTTTGCAGACAACGAGAGCGTGTGTATGGCAAATCGCATGAAGTTCCTACGGCGGTTTATTTGTCTAGCACCCAATTATTGCTGGCGCAGTCTGGCCTCGTTATGCTGTTAGCCTATTATCCCAGCTTACGCTTAATTAAATTTACGCGTTTGAAAACTCTTCATACTTACCTAGGGTGCAAAAGACACCTGTTTAAATAAAGCTGCTCAGACGTAATCGGATCTCAGATTCAGATGACAAGATAGGAAAGAGACCAACACTGGCATGGTAAGCGAACGTGTCTGAAACGATCGTAAGGTGAAACTGGCTTCATGGCTCTTCAGTTTCCCTAGAAAGTAACTTGGATACTTATCAGTGTACTAGTTCACATAATTAATTAGATTAGACAAAATTGCTTTAAGCAAAGCTGTGAAAATAATCCATTGAAATCGTAGTTGGAAATTTCCAAACTGCTCTATTCAGATGGCTAATTCATCTCACTGAAAAAGCCTTTCGTATCGATGGTGAACTTGTCTCTAACAAACGACAGTCGAGTAAGTATCATTTCTGTACGTTCTACTTTAACTGGAAGTTAACAAAACATTTGATGATTTCCGCGCCGCTGGTAACGGTTGAGCCTGAGATTGAAGCTATGCCAGCTACACGTGTGAACCAACGCTCCGTTAATTCTTTCGTTTTTTTTTTTGCAATTTTATGAACACCTCATAAAATATTCGCGTTGCTCAAATGCGGTCGGGTACTGTTGAGAGCGCAGGATTAGTTTATCAACGATGAACGGCGTAGCTTCCGGCTGCTCCATCGATTCTGCCGCATCTTCTGTCTCAATTTCCTGGGATGTTGGGGGAGTATCAGGCGTCGGAACACCGTTGCCGAGCTCCACGTAATCCAATTCACTGCAGACGCTTAGCTGACGATCCAGCCAAGCCCTGAGTGTTGTGAACGAGGGCCGTTCGTAGGGGTTATCACACCAACACTTCCGCATAATCACGTACCTGCAAATGAATGCCATATGTATTGAACCATAAGAAGAAAAAAGAGCCACGTAAGACGTTCAGTATCGGTAAGAGTAACGATAACCCTTGCACTAGTCACCCAGTAAGTAGCTGCGGCCTCATCCAATACAAATATCATCATCCACTATCCAATAAGAGTAACGTATCATTCACTAAGACTAATAAGGGCTAGATTACACAAGTGGAAACGTTTATTTCAACGAAGGTAGTTAGGCTGGTAATTGCGCGTTGTACAAAGCATAGAGTATGTCGGTGGATTTATCGCGCAACAATGGAAACTCTACGGTATGTATGTTTCTGTCATTTGTGAACAGCGTTGCGATCAAGCCGCGATGTTCGCTTTCTATTTCAACACCTGATTTTCGATACTTCTAGTTAAATCATTGAAGGGCTCACAAAAAAATTACAACAGTGATATTTTTTTCATTTACTTAGGCTAGCCTGAGGCATTTACAGCCCCAAAAGGGGTGTAATGAAAAACCGGCATGACGACCGTCCTATCTCTATACGTTGTGACCATACACGCCTTCGAAGAAGTCTGCGATTCTAAACGGAAAAAAAGTACGTACATTTCATTGGAGCAATTTTTCGGTTGTTCCATGCGCTTGCCAGCCTTTAGGAGATCGAAGAGATTGTTGACACTGGCCATGGCCGGATACGGAGTTCCTCCCAGAGTCATAATTTCCCAGAGCAGAATACCAAATGACCATCTAATGATTTTGTTGGATTAGAGATTCGCATGAAGTGAAGAAAAAGAAAGTGAAGCAGCAGGTTAAGCGATATATCGCTTTGTATACCTATGGTTTTACTGAAGCGATGCTACCATTACTGTCTCTCTTAATCGACCTTTCCTTAAGAATCTTCTAATCGGCATGAAGGGCATATGACGGCGGATACTATGATTTTATCGAGTGCTGAACGAAAGTATTACTTTGGCTGAATACAGCAAATGCCAAACTAAGAGCCAGCAACTTTGATTTTGTGAAGCCTGGTGAAGAAGCGGTAATTTCAATCAACTCTAATGCCTAATAGGGAATATATCTTCACAAATTATTGATCCCGTCACGTCTGCATAAATGCAGTCAACTAGCTTTATGTCAAAGACACAGTAATTTAAATAATTCGTAGTTAATAGTTGATTAGACGGACTTACGCAGATATCTAAAGCATATATAATCTACTTACACGTCGCTCATCGATGTGTACACCTGGTCAAACAAAGCTTCTGGTGCCATCCATTTAACCGGCAGTCGTCCATTTGTAGTTTTACGGTAGTAACCGTAATCATGCAAATCACGAGCGAGTCCAAAGTCAGCTATTTTGCAAATCGACTTCACATCGTCAACGACGAGAACGTTACGAGCAGCCAAATCCCTGTGAATGCAGTTCTTCGAGGCAAGGTACTCCATGCCGCTTGCAATCTGATACGCGAACGAGCTCAAATCTTTGAGGGTGAGCGTTTTCTGCACAAGCTCTTCACCTCCAACAATCGGCTGAAGATAACCAGCGCTCCGTCTATGATTTCTTAAATAGTCTCGAAGATTACCATGTGACGCGTACTCGACGATTACGTACAGCGGTCCATCTTGTGTGCAGCAGCCAAGCAAATTGATAATGTTGATATGTTGACCAATTGTCTTCAGTACTTCCATTTCCGACACGAGATCCACCATATCAAGATCGGTGTGGCCTTCCTTGAGCATCTTCACTGCGACGACGGTTGCCCCAGTTGTTTTATCGCCTGGCCGTATTCCGTACGCTTCGCCTTTGACAACCTGGCCAAACGCTCCTTCACCAAGAATTTCACCAAGAACAAGTCGCTCCCTAGGAAATTCCCATTTCTGGTCGAGCGGCAGATCGTACTCAGAGAACGATTGCTGCTTATCGGACATGGCGATATACGTAGGCTGGTGCGTGATCTTCACTTGAGGCGAAAGTGAAGACGAGTCGTCAATGCCTTTATTCACATACTCAAGCGTGATTCGTTTCTTTACAACGTAGATCTGCTGATTTCCAAGCAGCTGCATCGGTATCTTATCACTTTTCTTGCTTTTGCTCCTACAACATTTGAATACGAGCAGAGACAGCAAAATCGCAACTGACGAAACCGCAACGAAAAAAGTAATGAAATACCAGTAATTTTGCTCAAATGGAAGTGGGACAGGTCTTGGGCCTGGTAGAACTCGGAGATAGACCTTTTGGAAGGTCGTACCTGCGCTATTTCCTGCAAGACACGCGTACTCGCCTTCGTGTGCCTCGCTCACATTTGACAGAGTCAAATTTCCTGAGCGCTGTAAGAATTCACATATGATACGTTAAACACAATACTAACAATAATAACCATTATTATTATTATCTCTACCTTTAGATAAAACATGTCAACGCCGACAGACCACCAAAATTGTCATAGATTGAAAAAAACATGGTTTAAAACGACAGACAATTGAACTGATTGAACGTACCGAGAGAATGGTGTGATCTGGGCTTTCAGGGTCATCAAACTTCACCCATACAACATAAGGAGTAAGTGCTGATAGCACATCGCATTGGAAAGTCGCATTCTCGCCTGTATACACCGTCTTGTTAGCTAAATATCCGGGATAAATCATTGGACTGGCGTTGGAAAGATCTGTAAAAGACATTTGTTCAGTAACATCAGATTTTGGATATCTAAAGATCACCTCAACCACATTAGACTCTTGAATCCTGCACTCCTACTGCAGCGGATTACGATCTAAACTGCAGAAGGTTATAATAGCGCGATTAAGAATAGCTGAATCTGTGGAAGAAATTGAGAAGTTTCAGTTCTCTATACTACGTTTACTACTGAACTGGATAAACTGGAAATGGATCAGAGGAGATGCCGTAATGTCCGAAAATTCAATGCTTTAGGTCACTGCTCAAGCAATCGCTCTTAAAGCACGTGTTGTCGATAATAAGGAAACTCAATAAAATCGCCTTAGCCCGTTAGTTTGAACGGAGATTATTATGGAGATATACTACCCAATGAAACCGCAAATATACTCCTCTTACCGCTGACTTCGACCTCAAAGGTGTGGCTGACGGATCCGAATTCGTTTGATGCCAAGCAGGTGTAATTTCCTTCGTCGTGCTTGGTAATCTTTTTCATCGACAGAATCGGCCCATCGACGTGTATCTGAAATGATTTTAATATGTACACAATACAATACAGTGTGCTGTATTTTCTTAGTAACAAAAACAACCAGCAATACATGTCTACTGGATACTTCTAGCAGTAAGAGTATTCATATAGGTGTCTATACACGGATTCCATTTAAGTGCTCAGGAGGACTAAATGGCAATCACACTGTCATTGTCTAAGCCTTACTGTGTCCTATCAATTTAAAAGAAACTTCTTTAGCCTGAACTGCAGATCACGAACGGATCGTCGGCGATGACGAATATCCCTGAACACTTGAACACATTTTCTATGCAGATCTATCGTGCATCATCGCAGTGTGAGAACGCAGAGCTTATTTTTTTATGTTATATGCAAGTCCTATTTGGCCGTTTGATATGGCTATTTCCGTTTTGGCGCATCGCATCCAGGTGAACAATCCCTATGATGCGGTACGTGAATTGGCGCACCCACAGCTCTTGCTGGCAGACATTCATAGTTAAGCCATCTCCCTCTACTTTTCAAGCTTCTATTTTTACGCTAGATACAAGTAGTGTATAACAACAATCATCTGCGTCCTCATCTTGATTTGTTGTCGGGCAGTTTTCAGGATGGAAAATGTGGCCGATAAGTAACAGCTTCAGGTACGGACTTCGCGATGATGATCGTCTCGTCGAGAGGGGGGTAAGAAAAAAGTAATCTACAGTCGGCCAAGTACTATTGCCTCCTAACGCTCAGGCACCAGACTGGCACACTCGTTGCTTTTGCTTGCGTCGTATAAGCTGTTTTTTAAAAAGAAGAGTCTAAAGAAATGACAGTCGATAGCAAAAGAAGACAGCTTTATAGAATACACTCAACGGGCTGTTCATTCTCTCTTGGTCTGCTTATCCAGGTGATACCAAATCACTGTGCCCGGTGGCTTAGCTTTTCCTGCCTCTGTATTTGTTTCCAGCAGCCTGCCACCTCCATGACTACGAGTGCTGACAAGATGATATTGATGGCGCACATGTTCCGGAAGCAACAATCCAGTTTTGCCATTCGATTGGCTCAACAGTGACGGCGCTGAACCATCATTAATCATCATCATCATCGTTCAGCACTATTACATATATATATATATATATGATATAGCAGTACAGCGTTGTGCTACCTTAAAGTTTATACTATTACATTCACTGGAAGTAATAGCCCTATATGCAAATCAGCTTGACACAAGTTTAGGTACCGATGACTGGAGAAGGAATACCTGCTTGTTCGCCACCATTAAGGCGGTCAAATCTGAGTCAACGCATCGCTCGAAGCCATTTACCTTCGTGCCAAAATATCTTGTCAACTCGGAATCACCGTCTTTGGTCCATGTGTAATTCGTCGCCCTTTTTGCACTACAATTGAGGCTGACGGTTTCTCCAATAGCTACAACTTTCAACTGACTCATCCTGCGGATAAACCGTGGCGTCGGGGAAATTTCAGCAGTCGCTACCAGCGAACTCATTGCCACGACGTTGATCAACCACATGATCAACACCATTGCCTGAAATCGAAACAGCGGAAATTATTAGAACTATATAATGTGATTAAACCGATCTGTTATAGTGCCACAGCAGGATCAAATACCGAAGTCGTGTTATTTACTACACGTCTACCTGTCAGAATCAAAATAGGTTCGGGTTCGAATTTTTCTACATAAGATAAACACTACCCAGCCTGGAAAAGCAGACAGCTCAACAGAGCAACATCGAACAATGAGACATTTGCCTATGAAGTGGCATTTGCCGATTCAGTTTTTCAGCGCACGCGCTCGGATCTCATTAGCAGAGCAGATCTTTATCTAAGATATAGCTTCCACATGTGCCTTGACTGCACAATTTCCTGCATAGTCCTTTTAGCGTCCAAATATTTAGTGCGTCTGCATGTGGAGCAGCGCATGTCAAGAAATCGTCACTAACGCTATCTTGTCGTCTGTTTTACATAAAGATCTTTGCCTGTTTAGCATCTGTCGCGAGACGATATAACCGAGCAATACATAACGCTTAAAAAGTGCGGGCACAGACGAATAGAAGTTTCAGGAGCAAAGCGATTGGATACTGTAAGATGTACGCACCTCTAAGGAACACAGTAGATATTAGGCTAAACACAGTTTGTATACACTCGTACATTATATGAAATTCTTGCAACCTCCCTAAGGTCTGAGATGCTAAGAAAGGTAACAGAGAAAACTAACAATACTGTTACTTCAAGGCTACTCAGAAAAACGTACATCTTCATGACGTAAAAACTGCTGGATACATAGAGAGACGAGCGAGAATTAGGAAAGGGCTAAAAATATCGAACAGACAAGCAGATACCTGTTTAATCGTAACCCTCGTCATAGTCTTAGCCCAACGAAGAGGTGTAGATGGACTTAACAAGTCGAATAACGATCAAATTTAAATGAAACCTTACATATACCTTATATGTGTCGACCAGACGCCGATGCTTCGAATCTCGTCAACAACACACGAACACTACATAATTTGTGTGAGGAAAAAACATTTATAGATATGTATCTAATGTCGTCAGCTGGATTTAACATATAACAACACAAACGTTTACTTTTTTCTGTCTAGTAAATTTGGTTCTCCGGGACGTAGTCAGTAAGAGAAACTTGAGACTTCGAACCTGACTAACCTAGCTGGGTCTTGTAAGCCGCCTCTGTTCTAAAAATACGAGCGAATATGTTCCCTCCACGCGACACGCCATCGACCCATAACGCCTTCTACCCCCCGACTACACCTGGCTTTGGCGTTAAACCTTGTGGTCGCTCTTCACCTTCAACCAGGAAACCGCTGACAGTCAAACTCTCGAGCGTCTCCATACTTCAATTTCAACTCGCTTTCCACAAAGCCGACTCCAAGTTTTTCCATTCAGAGATTCTCCGCCAAATGGACACCCGAAACCTCTTGCAGGCGACTTGGAAAACGTCGGGTTCTGTCTCTCATAGGCTTTCTTTGTTCGGCCCTTGTAGCCAGGAACATGATTCCTGGACAAGGGAAGCGTGGCGCACGCTGTAAAGCTCGAATTTCTGGTGAGCTACCTCTCAGATGTGGGTCCGGCCCATTAGAACACCACCCGGCAAGATTTAGATGGAAAACAGTGGCTATGGGCAGTTCGACGCTTATACATCCAAAGTTCCACAGCTCCTAAAGCTATAAACCTTCTATTGCCAGGCATACTTTTAGAGAGAAAAGACTTCTGTTTCTAGGTTACTCGAGGGGTATGAACAGTTCAAGTACGAATGAACTACCTTCGGCCCGTATGTTACATGCCGTAAACATCGCCCGTTGTACCTTCGAGGTATGGAGAATTCCCTTGATTAAAATCTTTGCTTTTACTTGTGAACGAGATGCCACTATGTTTCTTCAAATAAAATCGAAATTTTTAGTAGAATTACTTTCTAGCGGCTTGTTGCACGCTAATAATAATAATAACTATTATTATTACACAAATTGTTATATTGGTAGCATGTCACCTCAACAATTCGTTGCATTTACAAATCGATTTTAGAGAATTTCTGTAGAGGCATCACAAGAAAATGCTTTATGGACTTCGTCAGCAACGCTCGTTGACATGTTGGTGTCAAAACAACGCATGAACGAATAAGAAACGTCTTCGAATATGAGGGGTACAGCCAGAACGTCCAGCAGCGGCGCGCGGATATGGCACAACAGCTATCATTTTGACGAACAAAAGATGCCTTTGATCAAATCGTCGCGTGAGTAGAATACTAGCAATATATATATATATATATATATATATATATATATATATATTCATAACTTCAAGTCTACGAAGGCGCCACCTTATATTTTACGTGGTCTGCAGGCTTTGGGGCTAGTTTCGGAATAGACAACATTGACTATGCATATGAAAAAAATGTCTTTATTTATACAGGTTCTGCAGTGTGCGTCTATGCGACGTTGATTGTTTGAATAGCGAAGCCTCCGGCTAAAAGGGATCAGGGTTCGGCTCTTCGAGTGCCGCCGACGGTACACGATATATGCGAATATGACAGTCGTCTGACCTACCGAAGGTTCTACGTTCTCTCTTTAATCACACATGTTTAGTGGGGTACGCTTTCATGTACGCTCTTCCATTCTCTGCGAAGCTATGTATGTAACCTTCTAAAGAGCCAATGCGTCTTTGGGCTCGAGATCAAGCCGTGACAACATGACTAGTGTTACTGCACTGAAAAGGTTTGTGCAAAACTGTGTATATTCCTCCGCGATTTAAAATGCCAAAACAATCGGCATTAAACTGCTTACTATGTCCGCTTCCGAGAATTTCAATCTTTTTACTCAACACCGTGGTAACATCGGGGTGAAACTTCTGCTTTACACAAACCGAACTTGTCAAGTTAGGCATCATTATATTTCATTAGCTCTGCAATGCCGACCTTCGTATATAGCCGAGAGCCATTGATTAAGAGTAGACTAGTTGTCTATTATAAAAAAGCATTAAATCTTTTAGTACTGATGCTCATCGCATCTTGCACTGTGTTTATTTCTTTCGTCGTTTTATTGACGGCTGTATGTTCGTTCGTGGCCTTCTTCGTGATGAAACTGTTCTTCTCCTTCCTGCTTCCTACCGGTGGCCGTCAACAGGAGACTATTGTTTTTCGGTCGTTCTTTAAGACGGCCAGCCACTTTATAGATTCTGAACGTCTCCTCAGACCTGAAAAAGGTCCGAAGATTGTTGTGGTCTCTGACCAGTTGACTATAGCTAGAACAATCATCTTCGGTTGTTTTTCCCCGCATGAACATAATAAACTTCGCTAGATTAGGTCGCTTCCTGCCAATACTGGAGATAGTAGGCTGCCCAACCTAGCTTCACGACGTTTCCAAAAAATGCTTTATTAATAATCTACGCGAGCTGATCTGTCAATTTGCCAAGTGCCTGCACAGCAAGTTATAATGTGTTGTCGTAGTACGCTAAGCTTGACAGAAAGTTTCGAACGTATAAACAACGAATACGAATCAAGAAACGCACACGATAAAGTGCAACCTGTACATGTAAACGTAAAGGTTCTTTCGAACATTGCCACTAGTCGTTTCGTAAATATTCATTGAAATGGCGGCTGTTCCATGTATCTTGTATCCATATTATTATAGAACAGCTATGCTGTAGACCTATCTTTATGTTGAACTCAAAGCATCAGCTTTTGTGGAGGGTTCAGCTAGACAAAGCTCAACCATGAAGTAAATGTTTTCCGCGAAGCGAACGTTCTCAGTGATGACTTGTGGTCCATGGTTGCTGCGCTACTGAGAGGCTAGCGACAGAGTTGGTAGTCCTTGATGCTGGGTTTCTAGTAAATGCAGCCAATCCTATGCATGATACGAATAAACGAGGTTAAAATGTGTAGCGGGTTGAAAATATTTTGACTTGGAATCGTTTCAAGTTCAAAGTAGTTTCTGTTGACTATGGCAGCCTATGCAATCACCAAAGTTGTCGAACAAATTATTACGATACGTCAAATTATTAGTCGTCTTAGAATAATAGGAACACAAGAGTTTAGTCAAGCTCAAAGCAGCATGTCGGTTGCGGCTGACACGAAGCATCTCGAAGGATTCTGCTAAACAGCACAGACTTGTCGCCTGAAAAACAAGTAATCCCAATCGGAAATGAAAGCCACGATTGACACTAACCCTTCGATTACAGATTTCCATCCAAGATGTCGTTGTTCAGGCTCGGTTTATCTTTGAGCAGTGCAAAAATCCATACACCCATTCGATTTGTATAGCTAAGGACTGCCTTTCCTACCACACTTTACTTAGAACGTCGGGACGCTCTAGCTTCCATATCAGACATGATCTGAAATAACATTCACTCTGCAGATACCTTTACGGCAGACTCCCGGGCGTCCTTAACGAATTTCCGGGAAACTCAGAAGACTAGTCAGCGAGTAAAATTCGTGCAGCGCCCCAATAGCTTACGACAGCAATGCCGACGCTGAGAATCACCATTCGCCCGAATGGAAAAGGCGGTAATTTTCATTGATGAAGGAATTAGAGTTTCGACTCGATTATCTATCATGTGCATTATAGCTGCCGCCCTGGGAGTGGAATCAAAGCAAATACATGTACAATATGGGCCGGATGGAAGGCGGACTGTTCCTGCCAGGCCCACACACGGCACTGTGCTACTGCCGGTGGTCGTCCAGTGCTGTGAGTGTTGTTATTTTTCTTTTGTCGTAGCACATTGCCGACAGCCGGTCATCGTCTAGATGAATGTCTATGCGTGTACATAGATATATTTCTTGTGTTATGAACAAAGAACAAGTCAATTTGGAGACTAAAGCTTGAGTGCGGTAGTGTACCGCTGTAGCATCTCAGACGTGATTCCAGACCTCCCGACCGGTGCTCATTCTGCGAATCCCTTCCCGTGAGCTTCCGCCGACAGCGAACCGAGGCGAGCAGCTTCTCCAGATGCACTCCTCCACTGCCACTGTCATTGCTGCCAAAAGCCTACCATCAGTATCCATCAGACGCCTCTTCTGCCGTCACCTCTGGGTCGTTGAAGAGCCTCATGAGTGCAGAGCATGGAAGCGTGCAGACGCAGAGACGCGTAGAAAGACAGGCGCACTCACGGATGCCTGCGCGTATTCAAGGTTTGAGCATTAGCGGCAACACGAAAGAAGCGAAATGTCAGAGCAGAGCAAGCAAATGAGCCCAACTGTACGCACAGAGCAGCCTGAATAGGATGTATAGGATTGTCAAGCAGTTCCGACCTGGCTGTGTCCTGACCGTGCAGAAATCAAGACAAAAACTGTCCGCAAAACCAGACGGGAGAGTTTAGCTGGCACGAAATCGTACGGGCAGTACAACGGAGAAGCGGCTTATGGATTCAAGCTAGCTATCTGAGAACAGGCGCTTAAACCAGGCATCCCTTCGACGCCTCAGAGTAACGGCCAGTGGTAAGCTGTCATGCATCTTTCATTTAGTATATATGTATACATAATAATAATAAAAATAAATAAGAGCAGGATTCTGCTAGCTGGCGAAAAGTAAAAAGCTCGCTCACGTCTGGTTCCGACGGAAGCAGCTTACCTCTTCGGCCGCAAGGTCTGTCTTGTCGCTGATAAACGAAATCAGCATCATCTACAGGCAGGGATATAATGATCTATCACCAGTCTACGTCGACACACATATTTATGCGTGTTTGTATGTGCTTTTACAGCTATCTGCCAATATGGGGCAACTCCGCACAGGACACCCATCAGAACGCGGCGCTAATCGCTGGCAAAGCGATCATCTCAGTTTTACTGCAGCACGCTGCCATCTACGATATAAGTTAGCGAGTTAACCTCCAGCTAGCGTGTTCCGTGCCACTGTCTATTGCAGCAGATGCGCCGAGTGCGCTTTCAGAGCGAAAGAACACATTTCTTCGAGTCTCTATCAGCTATGACTTTCAGCCGATGCACGACGAGGTCAATGAGTTCCGGGCTCTAGCTTGCGCCGTCGAAACGTACTCGCTGGCCGACAGCTTATAACTGCACGGCTGTTTACATTGAGCCGCGAAATGCCGGCGCGCGGTTAGCCGCAAGCCGATGATAGAACGAAATTTCCCCTTCACATCGTCTCTTGGCCACACCTTAAAAGTTAAAACGCAGTAACGTTCCCAGAAATGAATCTGGAACATTTATTTCGATTAGGTTAGCCAAATGACTCACAGACATATTACGTCGTCCTTTATGCCGCCGTATGATCTGAGCAAGCGTCATGGAAACACAACGTTTAAACAGCCTTTATAAGCCAGACAAGCATTTGAGCTGTTGTTTTCAATACATAATTCACTTATAACATTTGGTGCTCTCTCTGGACTCGAAGACATAGTATCGAGAATTTATTTTTTGTTGACCCGCGATTATCGGAATACGACGATCAAACAACTCACCTTATAAAACATATCTTAGTGAACATAAATGATCACTGATCAAATATATGAAATGACCAAAGAAAAATCGGCAAGTGCTATGGAAAAAAAAGAAGCTAGAATACATAATCTATCGTCAAACGCGTAGGCACCTTTTGGTTCTGGTAGACGTGTAATCATTTTACTCAGGCACGGCTTACTTTTCTGAAAACGATATATATCACTCTTTATTACTAAAATATTCTCTCGCTCGTATTAGGTGCACGTTCGGTAATAATTTTCCTTCTCACCGACATACGGGTCAGTGGTTTGTTATGCCTTTTGGCCAGACTAGCTTAAAGCTTGAAACTCTATCGTATTAACAATTACTGTAGGCCAACTGACGTGTAGGACGCCGGATCCCGCACGAAGCAAACTACGTTCAGCCATCTTATCTCTTCAAGAGATTTTTCGCCGATGTAGCACATCTCAAATCCTACCCCCGCTCCCTCCGCACACACAACATGAACTTCCTGTCACTGGATACTTCCTTTGCCTCTCGAAGCTCATCCACCGCTGGCTTCAAACGGACGGCGCCCCCGGCACTGCCTTGTGACATGCATCGCACCCTTTATCCATTTGGGCAGCACATCTGACTTCCGCCCACTCGCCAAACAACCCCAAGTACCATGCGACGCAGCACTAGCTGCTGAAAAGCTTATGGACGTATGAGTTAATGCGCAGTAGAACCAGCCTATGCTCCCCAACGGTTCCGCCTATCTCCGTGTGCCGCACGCGTGTCTCTCAAAAAGGTGGCCCGCGTTCCACCATCATCAGTTGGCCTATGGCACGGATGAGACTGCCAATTCAATGGCATCCTATGTCCTTCGTTAAGAAAGGGTTGAATCACGAGAGATTGCAGTATGTATGCTTGTACGAATGCGCTAAATAGGATCATCGGCGAAAAGCAGGAGTCTTATGTTACACGTGCCGATATGCACGTAAGACAGGCACCGAAAGCCTTCTACAGTTTATATGAAACTGTAGACGTTGTTCAAAAACACGATTTTTTCAAAACGTTGAGAAGTTTTTGCTTGCTTGCTAGCTAGCTAGCTAGCTAGCTATATAGCTTGGACAATCTAAACCTAATATGCTAGAGTTAGTCACGATTAAATGGCAGATTGCGATATACTGTCGTTCAATTGTCTTTCGTCTTTTCTGGATTGTTAACCTGTCTCGACCTTATGTAGTAAATGCTCAATCTATTTTTCTATGAGATTATGCAAGAGAAACTTACCATTTTGTAGTGGTACACAGCGGAGCATCTATGGTGAGTGCCACTTGTTAATCTAACAAACATCTTCTGAGTTGTCATGGGCACCATAGCAGGAAAAAGGCCTTCCGAGCTGGCAACATCAGTGCCATAAATTTATGCCTTTACGCACATGCTAAGCTTCACTCCTGCAAGGAGTAGTGAGTGACATTTAATTGTTATGACGTATCGTACTTAATGCATGGTATAACTATACCGATAATCACAATAACAGCAACAACTAGTCAAGATCTAAGCAATGTCAGCTGGGGTGCATGAACGTATACCGTTGGATGGAAGCTCCATATGTCAACATAAACATCGGCGAGCAACAAATATTAGGCGTTCGTTCGGTATACGATTCGTGGCTACTGCTCGTCGAGCGTTAATGTCGCCTCATTCGACTTTGTGTGGAAATGACGCCAGTGATTTGCCCCGTACGTGTACTACTGCTGATATATACGACCATTGACCATAAGCCTTAGTGGGGCGACCTACATTACAGATGGTTTCGCAATAACCTTCCCTACATATATACGATTTTTAGAAACTGATAAAATGAAAAGCTGTCAGGTAATTATTCCTAATTACTTATATTATGTGTTAAGTTTGATTGGGAACTGGTAATTTGTTTTGCTACTCAGCTCTGTAAATTTCTCGAGATGCGAAACGAAAGCTGACGACTGAGTGTTTTTATATAATATTATAAATTAAGCTCTTTTTGATCATCATAACAAAATCCTTTCTAGTAGAATCAGGCAACCGATGCAACACCTTAAAAGCAATTGTATGTAGAGTAGTTTTTGGAAGCAGTGCTTGGAACTTTTAGAGCATCCGCATCTTGTAAAGCTGAAAGACTGAGAATATCTTTCAGTACACCTTCGAAAGCTCAAGGATACCTTTCAACCGCGTCTTTTAACAGCAAACCACTAAAAATACGTAATAGCTCTTCTCACTGACCTCCTGTCGTTCGCAGCTTTCCCACTAAGTAAGCCTATACATTGAATTGGAGCAACGTAATGTTGTGCTTGTTGTATGGGCAGAGCCTGCGATTACATGTATACTTATGACCTTACGAAAAGTGCGAATGTAACTTTTGGACAAATAAAAAAGGACATAAAAAGTGAGATGTTTTTCACGAGCTAACTGGTAGATGTGTGGGCATGTGGGCCGGTGCGATTGCGCAAAAATATTGGATGTATTACTACGCAAACTTCGATTACGTACATATTTAATCGATGAACGTAAATTGTCGCCTTTTGATGCAGCCGAAAGCTTTTGAAACAAAATTTTCAGCCGTCACCATCATGTTTACAATTACCGTCTTCCTAGGTGTCTGTGTGTCCTGATCAGGAGCACACCACACCACACGTGCTCTTCTAGACCATTTTAAAAAGCGAAATGGCGAAGATTTCCTGATACTAGAACATTGGCAGTAAAGAGAAGCGTAAAGCGATAGGAAAAGTGCGCTACTAGAGTTTCTGGCCCCGGACCTTCACTAAGCCTATAACCGAACAGGCAGCGTTCGAAAAAGCATCACCTCCTATAGACGCGACTAGCAATATTTCTGATAGACATAAGTCAAGATTTGACTAATGCCATGCGTAACAACAACGACATGAATAGAATTAGGACCGCCCTCCTGATGTAAGTAACTAGACGGAATCAAATGTGGCCCCCGGCTTCCGTCGAGACTCTGCCAACACTTCGTTAGTTCGATCTATACATACGTAGACACGTGCATGCTTAACGCCAGCCAAAAACAAAGAGAGAGAAAAGAGGCTCCGTGTGTACCCGCTGGCTCCCACGAGCTCGCACTGCTGCAAATAAGAGCCCTAACAGTACCCTTCTCATGTAATAGATCGAAAACCAAATTAGCTGTGCTAGAGAATGGCAGCGAACACATATGTCTATGACTTTTCGAGTCGATTTCAAGTAAACTGGGCAGAATAGACGGGCGAACGAAGTCGTAAGAAGACATTTCCAATCAACTGCAACTGATCTGCGAGCCCGACTTGTCATCTAGACAAAATTCAATTGAAAAAAAACTAGTTAGATAAACAGAACCCGTAGAAGCGAAACAGTTTAACTTCCGCGCATACCCAAGTTATAACTGGGTAGATCTGCGTCCCTTTCCCCCTAGTTGATTTGGATTGGTTCTTAGGGAAACAATTAGCCCACCCGAAGGCGAGCGCCATCTTTACGTTATTCGTGCATGTCTGAATCACAATATATTTTAATTAACTGCGTAAGCAAACACGAAATTCGATGCTTTTTGAATACATGTCTCGCGATACCATACTAACAGTTGTCATCTAATGAACGACTGAAGTATTATCATAAATCGGTCCGGTATTAGGAAACAGTATCACAACAAATAAATGCCTTAGTAGAGGAAAATGGGGAATAATCAGGGTCCAAAACAACGGCCGCCCAAAGGACAGAGATTTAGCAATCTGACAGTAAACGCTTGTCAGGTTCATCAAGCCCACAAGTATCGCGTGCAAAAAGTGAACCAATGGAACACTCGTGCTTTATTTAGATTGGCCCTCTTCTCTAAACGCTTTGGGAACGCAGGGGCATACTAGGGGTACACTCTCGGCTCTATTGTTCGACGCTGCTAAAGCCGCGTATAAGCTCATAATCTTGGAAGACTGCCCTCGCCACCCGACAAAGTTGAATCAACTGCACTTTGAAACAATCCACAACCAACTAATGACGTTGTGCAGACTTTGTAAAAATAACAATAGAAACAAAGCGTAATTCCTCCACAGCTTAACTTTGCCCGAACATAAATAGCCGAACGCGAAGCTTATAACTTATTTTACAAACGTCACGATACTGAATAGAAAAAAATCTATTCGTCAAGGCTTGCTATAAATTATTTTCGAAGTTGCTTGACAGTGTCGATTTAAAGATCATTTTCTCAGTAGCGAAAATGTTTTTTCTCTGGAAACCTAGCCCTTTACGTTTAAACTTGCCGGACGACGCTTATTTTTCCTCGAAGAAACAGGAAACTTAACGCAAGTTCAGTTTTATAGTCAAATTAAACGCTGTTTAAGAAGACGCGCTTCATGGTTTCCATACAATCGAAACAAGTCTCCTATTTCTACAGTAGCTTTTTATTTTTTGAACTTATACTATGATACGCCAAACGTTACTTCTCTCGCTTGGAGTAAAAAACCCTTACTTTTTCCTACAATAAATTCATTATTTTTCAAGTTCGGAACACATCACTTGAACTGCCCTGCACATCTCCATTCCGCAGCCCCTTTCCTTCACATTCACTCACACATACACTTACAAGCTTGCCGCACGTCAATATATTACGCGAAGTGTGCTACGGTTGTATTATACCACTTCATCAACTTTACCTCATTAAACAATAGCATTGAGAATGTGCTCGGATGTATTCTATTTCGCAACCGTGGTTTAATCTGCATCTTGCCGTCACGCGGGAATTTTCAAAATGGACCGAATGTGTTAACCACGAGTAGATATATGTAAATATTGACGAGCAACGTATGTTTAGTGTAGTACATGATTTGTGCTAGAAATGGCTGATAGGGTGACGGCATCCGATGGTCAATCGAGCACTGAATTCATGCTCGACGCTTCGAGCGTTCTCAGATGACATCGGTATGCTTCTAGCACTTGATCACTAGTGGTCACAAACGCCGATAACGGACGCGTCGATCGATGTTTGAGGCTTGGATTGCCTCGCTTCGCAAAGCGATGGGGCTTACATGTAATCGATGATGAATACCATTTCATTTTCATCGGTCACAGATAAGCGAGCGTTGGAAGGGAATGACCGCCCAACTGTGCTTGTTCACTGATCAGCGACACGACGATGACTTCAAGATTCATCGCACATGAGAACTGGCACTAGCATTTGATTGCGTCAACGATAGCGGCAGCAGAAGGAACGTAATGCTCCGTTCAGAGCGACACGAACAGAGGGATGCGTCAATGCGTTCATTAGGGGGCCCTGATCGACGAGCACGCGCCAATTTGCGTGGATGGACATTATTCTTTCACAGGGAGCGATTCTTCTAATCTCCCGCTTTGGAACACTTGTTCGATCGATAGCTTTGAGAGTACAACGTACTGGTCGGACAGTTCTTACTGTGCACATGTGCCTCTGAGGCCGATGATGGCACCAGCAAACTGAAACCTATCCGTGGCACTGCATTGGTCAGCCCAGAGCTCATCACGGTTTTCGAGGCTCTATCGTAGAACAGTTAGCAGATTAGAGAGAATATGGTCGGAGAAGAGACGGAGTTAAAAGCTGCATGGATATATAGGTATATATAGATCCAGCGAAATTAGATGCACAGCGCCCAGTAGCCATAACAATCTTTACGTGCTTTCGACGCTATCCAATTGTATAGAGATTCGAAGAAGATCAATAAATCGATTCAGCCCCTCGTGAAAGACGAAAAAGATGCACGAGCATTCCGAGTAATTTATACGCAGAGCATATCACGGTTCTCTACGAGGAAATATTATACGTTCATATTTATCGTAGGCAATAGGTGTTTATACTGCAAACAAAATACCTACATTATTAATGGGACGCCACAATGGCATAAAACGAATTTAGTAAAACTCACGGTAGTAATAACTTGATATAGTCAACTGGACGTCGTAAACGTTTGCGAAGTCAGCCTGTAGTGTCTAACCATTTACTCAAGGTATACTACCATTGTTGTTAAATAGTTGAAAATATTGCGCTCGAGCTATCATTGTTATTTGAAGTGTTTACCTATTTTAATAATTGAGAATGTCATTGAATGATGGTGAGGCATTTTGGATGTATGAATAATTGATTCTCCACATCTAGGTATATAGAGGTTCTATTGGCTGATCCATTTTAAGACACCCCTGGTGCTATTGGATTGAGCTGGCATTCACTTGTCAACATCTGCTGTTACCTTCATCGTCTATTTTACTAGGTGGAAAAATCAAAGGCATAGGTGCATCGCGTTATCCTTGATATGCTTTCCATAGCGGACGTTATGGATTCTATGGATACGACCCTACGCGGTATGGTACGCCCAGAAAGCACCGAGGATCGTTTTCATATAGTGAATCATGCGTAAATTACGTTTGCTCAAATACGACCAACAGCTACTAACGCTTCTCG